AGAGAGAGAGAGAGAGAGAGAGAGAGAGAGAGAGAGAGGGGTAGACAGGGGAGAGCGAGGGCTGGCAAAAGAAGCGTCACGCCTCAGGCGCACTTCTGATTYGCTGCCCTACATGCGGACGCATTAAAGCCCATTACTCWSGGCAGACACCCTTAAACTAAGATCGGACACCGGTCTCTTCAGGGGGATTTAAGGCTGAGCGGCATGACYGTTGGGATCTCGATTTCAAAGAGAAATGGACATAATGMTAGTCGATCCTWGCTGCGCCAAACTTGAATCTGCATGGAAATCCAACACGTGACAAGCCCCCGTGAAGTGAAAGGGAAGGAAAACTCACAGGGAAGGCACAGATCAAAGAAGGCAGGGGGGRAGAAAGTTKAAAAAAACTTTCCCCAGCACAACTACCTGTATTGAAAGGATTTGCCTGGGAARCGACGGTGATTGCTCTTGAACGCAATATCTGAAGTGGGAGACTACGTGCAAACAGACACACAGAGAGAAAGAAGAGGGCAAAGAGSGACAGYCGGGGGATGAGAGACAGAGAGGAAAGACCAAAATGAGATAATTAATTATCCTTTTACTATTACTTCATGCGGCAGCGAACTGAACTWAAATTGTCTTGCTTCTCTTTTGAAAAACTTGGTGAACCCGTTCTAGATTTGGTCAGCAGGAAATTTGTGGTTCSCAACGAAGTGAGCTTTGATCGCCATGCAAACAYTCRTGTTGCCCTTTTGACAAACTCGATGAACTAGATCTTGAACTTGACTCTTGATAAAACTTGCAGGCCATAGCGAACTGACCATTGTTTGGAATATTGTAACTCCGGTTGATTACTGCGAAAAAGGCTTGTTTCGGACARCGTTACTCTTGATGGCCCAAATGAACTGGATCTGGAATTAGCTTTTAAATATTCGCTATAATCGCCTTGCAACAGGACTTGCTATAGCTTGTGGGTGATGCCACCCGCAGCATCCCCGAGAGGAGCAGTGACAGACTAAACAGACACAAGCACGCTGCAGGCCACTGAGGACCTCGGAAGCGGGCGCGGCGAGTGACAGGCGCCGTAGCCCTTGGCTTCAGCGGACTGTAGGCGACCCCTCCCCGGGATTCTTGACAACGTGGCGTTACGTGGTTGCATCTGGACTGCGTGCTTGTGTCCTCACCGTCCGATCCTTCAAACTCGGGGTGCTGCGCTGTGGTTGTACGTCGCGATCTTGGGCCGTATGCTCGCTTCGTCGTCGCGCTGAACACGCCTCTCGACAGCGCTGTGGTCCACCGTCGCGTCGAGCAGGTGGCCTGCTATGCACGGACCGAATCCCTGCGCTCCATTGCCGCGCTGTACATGAGCCTCCACTGCGCTGCGCTGTGGCACGAGCCTCCGCTGCGCTGCGCTACTGCTGCGTTGCCGAACTGAAACGAAAATGGGAACTGGTGGCCCTCCCTCGTATGTATAGTTTTTTGGGAGGGCCCTTCGCAGGGAACCTGCTGGCCATCCGATCCAGGGATACTGACGGTCGGGATGTTCCAATGGGGAGTGGTGGGCCTGCCTCATATATGTGGTTTTCTGGGTGGGCCCTCCGCGCGCGCCCGCTGGCCGTCCGATCCGGGAATACGGACGGTCGGGACGATCCAATGACTGCAGTCGGTCGTGATCGTTTTCCCCCCTTGGCCAGAGCGGAGGCGCGGGGATGACGTTCAGCTGCAGAGCAGAAATGCGATTCGCGCACATGAGTACCTGCGATATTGTGTCATTGTACGCGTTCTGGGAGAATCAGCGCAGCGGTCCGCCAATGTCGACACGACAACTGCCCCGCTCTCCAGGTTAGTGCCGCTTCGGCCAAC